TCCGACTTAGCTACTCCCCTCCCCTTTTCTCGCCGAGCTCGTAGACGAGCTTCGAAGACTCTACTCTGCCTTCCGGTATCTTACACGGAACTATATCTACGAATATAGTATCCACTTCGGCTGCTCGGTATATAGACTTTGGATACTTAATTTTTCTTCTTGGTCGCCCGCTTACTAATCTCTTGTTCCTTGGGCTAGTGTTCTCGCCGTTCTCGCTATAGGAACTAGCTACTACACCGTTAACCTCTTCCTATAGATATTAAACTAGACAGTAGTCCAGAAGCTTTTACAACCTTCTCGTTCTCGAAACATAAGTCCATAGGTACTAAAGATAGGGTCTATAACTGGTTCAGAGCTATTGTGAGCTTTCGGCAGAGGGTATATAAAATCGTTAGAGAGGGCACCCGGGGTACTACTTATAACGCTGAGTATATAGGCTGCCTCCACCGGTTTCCTACCTAGATCCTGCCGGTCGAGACGCGAAACCTTAGCCTCCGTTCACTTCGGGCCGCCCTCCGCTAGTTAATTGTCTAGTCGTATGCTAGCTTATAGGATCATAGTATAGGGTAGATCAGAGGATTTCAATAGGGTACCTAATATATTTCCAGGCTAAACCATCCTTATTGTGATGCTCCTTTCCCTATATATTTCTTAGGTTTTTCTTAACGTAGTCTCCTATCCTACTCGAGAAATTTTGTCGTCCTTAGCAAATATCCTCCTCGGCAAATATCGTCCTCGGCAAAACTTAGTATATAGGGTAACTAGCGATAATCACTCTCTTCCTATTGTCCAGAGAGTCTAGAACCCGTCTTAATAGCATATTATTTCCCTTCCCGCGATAGAACAGATACTCTTCTTGCACGACAAAGTTCGTGGCGTCCCTCTTGAATTGGTTATAGCGGCGGATTAGTATCCCTGGCGGATAGCGGAACGCTATATACCACTTCGCGATCTCTTCTGATTCGATAGAGTATTTAGAGCCTAGGACACAAGAAGTCTCTATATCACCTTAATCCTAATCCTACTCGACGCTCGGTATCACCTCCTGGTTATTAGTAGTAGATATACCCACCGGGTTTAATATAACTATTAGTGTGCTAATCTCTACAGGAATAAAATCATCTATATCCTCCTCTCGCTCTCCTTCTTCCCGCTCCTCTATGGTTAGCGGTCGTTTCGATAGGCTGTTAGCGGCTCTGTGGAACTATCCAGGGACATACTTTATATCAAATTTAAATAGTCTAATCCACGCGATCCAGCTAGTAACTAAGGCCCTTAGCAAATCCGTCGCGGATCGATTTAACTACGATACCAAGGTTTTGGCATCAATCTCTAGGGTAAAGTAGACCCTATAAACCTAGTGTCGAAACTTTTTTAGTGCTTTTAGTACTCCTCGGCACTCACACTTACCAGCATCATACTACTACTCTGTCTCTAACTAGGTCCTAGATTTATATCTTGCCGGCTTACGAACCCTATCTCGTACCTCTATCAATATAGCTCCCCACCCTTTCAACGACGTATCCACTACGATCACGATCTCTAACGGCGTAAAGTCATAATCGATTGGTAATATATAGGGAAAGGTTAACAAAACACTTTTTAGCTAGGTAAAGGCTTCTTAGTGGTTATCATACCACTCAAAACACGCTCCTGATTTCAAAAGACGATATATAGGGGAAGCCATTTAGGCAAAGTCCTAGATCATAACCCAGAAGTATACTACGAGCCCTATAAATAAGCGCACTTCAAAGACTAATATTAGAGTAGGCCACTCGATGATCTTCGCTACCTTCACTTTGTCTAGTCGACGTCCATCGCCGTCACAAACCCAGCCTACTACGGCCACGCCCTATATCACAAACTAAGATTTCTCCGCGGAAATACTTATTCCGGCAAGCTCTAGAAGATATAGTGTCTTATCTAGGTTCTTCAGATGCTCTAGAACATATCGACAGACCCTAGGAAATACAACCTCGTTATTATACGTGGTCTTTAGCCCTTTGATTTAGAGCGGAGTGCGTTCTACGGTCCCTACTGGTTTCCTGATATATAATTAGCTAGTGGCTTTTCGGCCGAAAAACTCTCCTGCCAGCGCACTTCTTTAGCCCTACGAGGATACTCCTAGGGAGGAACTAGTGTATCACAGAGGTATTCCTAGGGATAAGCTTGTACCTACTAATAGTAGGTAACTTAGGTAACCGCTTTTATAGCTTTATCGTAAAGTCTCTAGGTGGTAAGGGCCTCGTTGATTACCTTTGTGACCCCGCGAAGCCGGATAGGCCCTATGGCCGAGGGCTCCTCGAAGCTAATTCTTTCCTTTCTAATCACCTTCTCTCTAAGCCAGCTAGTTAGTCTAGAAAGTAGCCATTCGCAGTACTACCACTCCAAAATCATTCCTTTCTTTAGTAGTATATACGCGGTCGTTGTGAGCTACGAGATATACTACCTTAGCTCTATATTAGTTTTGTGGGGCTAGTACACTAAATCTATTAGCGAGGACCGCGAGAATCTCTGATACTCACTATCTTACTCCTTAAAGTCCTTATAGATCTTATACTTAAACTACTCCTAGTTTAGAGCGAGATATACCTAGTTAGCTTTTGCCTACTAGCGGATATTCTTCTTATAGTAATCCGGGAATAGCTCGTAGAGCGATACCGAGTCCACGATTCCACGTCTCTTACAAAGCTTCTTAAAGTTCTCGAGGGCCTCGGTCACATCTTTCCTATCAAAGAATAGAGTACCTAGGGTACCTAGATCTAGTATTAGTACCTAGTAGGGAGCACTAGATACCCATAGAACTACCTAGGGACGCTGCGCAGTCGGAGGGAGTATAGGTCGCTCGGTGCCTGGCTCGGTGCCTAGCTCGTACTAGGTAGGCCGATAGTCTAGCCCGATTGTGGGAGAGTAGACCTAATAGACTGCCTACGGGGCCTCGATAACCGGTGGAGGAGGGACCTAAGGAGTTTGGAGACGGGGCTCCCTCGATATCGAGGACTTAGACTCGGAGTGCTGATACTCCGTTTCTCGGTATCCTTCGAAGGGAGACGGGGCTCTTCCTATAGAAAGACCGGGGGTTCCTGGATCTACTTAGAGGAGGGCTTAGAGGCGTGGGTCCTGGCTAGACAGAGGAGTCTTATCGGATATCTCCGTGATCCTTTTCTTCTTCTTGTTTTTAGGGATTTTCTTACTTATAGATATTTGTATTAAATCAAGAACAGTGACGTTATATAATATAGAATTTCCATTCAACAAAATTCAGCTTTTTTCACGGAATACCGTAAGCGCTTTCCTTGTACCAGCGATCTCTTTAAATTTCCTGTAGTCTATCTAGGGATAATATATTTTTCTGTCGTCTTCTAGCTTGATATGTAACTTTGCTATATCCAATAAACCTTTCGCGTGTTGAATATATAGCACTTATATCACCTTTATTTTGAGTGGGAATAAAGGGTTAAACTTTGTGAGGGTATTGTCTGCTTTATTGATGGCGTCGAAGTCTTTGAAGTCTAACCACCGCACTACTCTGTACCTATCTACCTCTAGCTCGACGTATAACTTTGTATTGTCCAATTTAGTCTCCCGAAAATATATTTCCCGGATTTCGATCACTTAGACACTGCCTAATATATTATAGTTAATAATATACTAATCAAGGGATATACCAAGAATATCAGGCCTTACTTTAGGTAGGTCTTCGTCCTTTGCCACGTAGAATGGATATAGCCCTTTGTTTGGTCCGCTCTGTGCCTATACCTTTTATTATGGTTAGCTTTGAATGACTAAGGATTCACACTTCGTACCTTTGACTATCCTAGGCAGGCATAAAATAGATCTAAGAGACCTAAGGATAGACCTAAGAGACTTAAGGAGGTCCTAGGATTATAGGCAGGATAATTATTCATACTAGGTTCAGAAAATACTTATTTAGATAAACTAAAAGAATATTGGACTTAAAGACTTATATAGCAAAATTCTATTTCTACAATACTACTAACTGACCAAAGTTTAGGGGTATAGTCTACTATTAAAAGGCCGAGTTAAGTCTAGGCCTTAGGGTCTAAGCGGGCCTGATTTCTGAGAAAGTATATCTAAGGGGAATATATTCTACCCTATACCCGCTCGGTCACTTCTAGGGTTCCGCGATCAGCGTTATAGTAGGAACCTAACTGGAAATTGTTCTCCATTGTTCACCTATTAACAATACTAGCTCGCTATAATCCACCAGTCACTACGGAGGGTCTACTTCACGACCTATCCATTCAGATAGAATATTTTTTAAGGTTTTTAGAGGTCAATCTCCCTCCGGCTATTGCGGAAGCTAGTATAACCGGTGAATATCCAAGTTTAGTGGATTTTATTTCACAAGACGCGAGCTTACGCTTATAGATCCTGCGCCTACAAACCATCTTTCAATAGTCCTCTCTAGCCTTAGAAGAGGAAGAGTGGCTACGTACGTAAGGATTAGTCCGTTTATATCCTGGAAGTAAGGTCCGCGGTATCTAGCCGATACCGTCTTTCCTTCGTCACTTAGGGCGGTTAGATAATCATAATACTTACAGTGCCCTTCACTAGAGGCGGAAGCTTAGGAGGTTTAAGATTAAGTTCGGTAAGGGAACTATAACTATATTAGCCCCGGTCCTACCTACTTTCCGCCGATTACCCCTTATCGAAGAAACCAAAGCTATAGAGCTTCTAAGAGCTAGCTATATCGGCATTCCTAATAACGCGCAACGAATTCTATATTTCAAGTCCAAGTATTAAGCATTAGTAGTAACTTATATCCTTTCCTATTTCTCTCGACTAACGCAATCCTTTGTCTAGGCCCCGCGTCTAATACCTCCGATATCCTAGAGTAGGCACAAAACCCCTAGAGCGCCATGAATTCGAAGACTTCTGGCCCGAGTATATTAAGCCCCATTGGTTCACCACTTTTTCCTTACCAGATAAACGAGCCCCCTACAGAAACTTCTAGTTCTATTCTGACTAATCCCTTCTCAAAAAGGATTTCGTTTCGTAGTAGCTTCTGTATAAAGGGTCGGATCTCCTATATTTCCTCTTTGGATAAATCGGAGGGAGGGGGGGCAGAGCATAAATTTCACCCTAGTTTCGTCGGTATCCGAAAGATCTCGAAAGAGAGACACCGTATTACGAGATAGGTAGGTAAGCTTAGTGCCCTATATTGTGTGGTCACCGAGGGAGAGAACGATAATAGGACCCTAACGAATAGGAAAGGCAACTTCCCCTATAGCCTCCTTAACTTTTCCCGCGAACTACGATTTGTCAGTATTGGTTCAATGAATTTAGCTTCAAATGTAGAAACCGCTTTACCTTAAGTTTTATATCGGCCTAGTCAGAGGAGGCCGATAATATGACAAAGCTAGTGGACTCTATCTCCGATAGATATTGCTCACGGTAATAAGGCTATTAGATCTGCGCTATTGTTATCTTTGCGTTCCTGTGCCAGTGTCAGACAGTCTAGCTTAATCGAGAGTAGTCGCAATTAAACTAGGAGGAAGAGGGATAAAAAGGCAAGACAGCGAGGCACGGAGCTTTAAATATTTAGTATATTCGAATCAGAAATATTGCCAGACTTTCCCATAAAAGATAGACTATACTAGACAAAGTTGTTTGAATCTATTATCACGGTTAATAGATTGCTGTAAACGTAAACGGGGCATCGTACCAAGTTCCCCGTTCTTATATTACTCCTCCCTTTTCCTGGTGGACAATATATCTTCAAGTAGGCTTAATTCATGCTATATCAAGCCTTCAACATTCTTCACACGGCCAAAATATACCAGGGGCTCTAGACGTAAGCTCTTAACAAGCTTAGACATATCGTCTTCTTCTATATTAAATTCAATCACGCTTAGTCCTTCTTATACTTATCGAGGGTCTTACCTAGCTTTCTAAGCTTTATAGATTACTTCCTAAGTTTTATAGACTGCTTCTCCTTACTCCCACTAAAATTTGGCCGCTCTAGCGCTTTCAATATTTCCCGTCGAGCCACTAGGCTAAGCTCCGAGAAGACCAAGCGGTAATATTAAGTTAATTTATAGGTGTTGCTATATCGAATGGTGGACATTTTAAAGAAAATATATGTTCTATGATTGATATTAGTAAAGGAATTGCGAGGGGAACCAGGACGCTCTTATATCTTGTGGCTAGCTGGTTTTTATTTACACACGAGAACAGACATACTTTCAAAGGAGGGCAGGCCCTCTAATATTAAAGCACATAAAAACAGCCGTTTATACGTCACGTACATCTCCGATTTACTCACTCTATATTCCTGGGCCTTCTTTCTCTAGCACTTTAGGAGATAAGGAGAATATCGCATTAATTATATAACAAATAGTATCGCGAGTTATAAATATATTATATATTACGTTAGACTTAAGGAGAAATTAATTGACCTGACTAAACTTCATTGAATTTATATAGCAGCTATCTACATAGACGATTACGCTGATACAGACATCCTTAGAAATCTATAGCACAGAAGTTTTCAAAAAGCAATTATTAAACTAGGCGTCCCTTCTATTGATCTATATATATTTTAAAATAGGCCTAGAATAACCACTTAGGCAAAATAAGGAATAGAATACCAGATTGATCTCAATATTCTTAGATACGTAAGGACTTCCGCAAAAAGCATATACGCAGGGGCCAACTTAGATATATACAAACTACTCCTAACCCAATTTCCTAGTAGGTTATGGTTCCCACACTACACTAGTGGACTCGTGGTTTAAGGTGAAGTAGATATAATAAGCAGAAAAATGACTATCTTCCCTAGGCGCTTAATAATTCACTAAGTTCCTATCGTGCGGCTAATATGAAATTCTATATAGCTAAGTTTCTAGCCAATTACTATCCTTATCGTCTAAATTATCCACAAGATAACGTTTAAGGTCCTCCCCATTATACAAATAAATTATGCGGTTAATAGACCTATATAAACCACTAGGAGGCAGGAAATCCATCATCAGAAGACTATACAACACCACTATATATTCTAAGTCCTTATTGTGACTATTTAACCCCACTAATTTCTGAATAAATATCCGAGGGGTATACCCCATATACTAAGAAAGAATATTGTACAGTATATAGGTAGTAATAGGCCTATCATATACCCACGGGGCTGTAGAGACGATATATATAGTGACATCGCTGTGCTCGATCATGAATTAAGGGTTACTCATTATCTCATTAACTAGATAGTTAGCCAGATATCTACTATATATTATATCAGAAACAACTTACAAAATCGAGTTATAAGCTATAGTAATCTTTCAGTAGTAGGGTTAATAGGTATTACTAATATAGCTAGAAAAATAAGGAGGCAAAAAACCATTTAACTCGGTGGTTAGCAGAAATAAAAATAGACACTAGCTTTTTGTAGGTTATATAGTGGCTATTGTCAAAGATCCTTTAGAAAGAAAATCCCCTAAAGAATAGTATAATAAATATATACCATACTATCCAAAGAATGATATAAGTTATAAATAATAGACTCAAGGACTTAGTGCTAATATATAGGAATATATATATTTCTAAGGCTTTTCTATATATAGTGTAGTATAAATGTCTCTTTAAGGAGTCATAGATTGCTCTCGAAACTAAAGAACAGGGTATATTAGGCGTCCTAGCATTATTTTAGTGTAGGTAGGTGGCACGTGGCTTTCTGACCCTAGTTATATTGTCTCCGCCTCTGTTGTAACCTATATTGGAAACTACAGAATCTACCTTTCGTTAAGTGAAAAGAGACTCTCGTAGAATTGATTATAGTTAGGCCAATTTTAATGAAATAAGATCAGTAGAAGAATAGATCCATGTATATATATATTATAGTCCTTTGAATTGGTATATTATTCCACTACTGTTAGCGTAAGGAGCAAGGAGAGGGGAGAAGAAAGTATTAATTCTCTACTCTCAAATAGGGAGCTATTTACACATATAATATAGCTAGCTGGAATAAAAAAGGCATTAACCAGTTATACCATCCCAATATATTCTATATTCAATAACCAAAGATATAAAATACACAAAAGATCTATAGGAAAGAAAGCATCGGACAAGAGACTAGGAAGTAAAAACTAAATTGAAGTATGGTATTAGAAAATCTATACTCTCGAGACTTTTCAAATCAAATCAAGAAATCCCTTATCTTATACTGATACCTCTGGCTTTTCAATCTATATCAACCAAAAAAAAAAAAAAAAGAATGAAAAAACAACAAGTCTAACACGGCCACTAAAACTTAGATGTGTGGCAGCCTATTAGGGTATCTAATTAATCCTGGGTGGTATGGCTGGGATTGACTAGTGGCTCGTGAGCCGTAGTCTTCTGGGCTGGCGATATTTTGATAGGAGTTTGTATCTATCCGCACACCGTAATAGCCTAGGGCTTTAGTCTGCTTATTGTCAGAGGGGAATCCTGCGAAGGTGTTCTCAATAGAGACCGGAGTGTCGGTTATCATAGGCTCCAAAAATGAGTTAGCGTATCCGGGCAGTAATTCGTAGTTAAAATCGTCGATATCCTCTAATTTGAGAGGTATAGATAAGATTTCTGGAAGAGTGTCGACTGATATAGAAGCAGGATCTTTTGTTATTCTAGCCAGGGTAGATCGTTGTTTTTTGTACTTAGGCGCTCCTATTACCGCTGAGACTACCTTGGCAGAGTGATCCTCTTTATTCCCCTTAGCGCTAGAGCTAGCTTTCTTGACGTAAATCACCGTACTTATATCTAAGAAGTGTAAGTTATCTACAAATCATGCTAGGAGTACTCGGGACATACCGACTTCACCCCGCTTAAACTGTTACTCTATCTTTCGAACCCACAAAAGCTTATAGATAGTCTGGACATTTTTTGGGTCCTTTAGTTTGGTATTTGTAACAATTTCCTTAAACTTATCGGCAGTAACACTATAGTCACTTAGCTCGCGGAGAATATAAAGAAATAGTTCGATACGGTCTAGTCCCACAAGATATTAGTATAGAGAAGAATCCCTATATAGATAGAAACATACTTTCTTTCCTTATATACTTAGGGTGCTTATACTTGATACCTAAGGGCCACCACGTAGGCTTGGTCTTTTCTAGGTCACTCGTAGCGGACCCTAGTAATAGCTTTCCACCGTTATAAGGGTATTTAGCCTACTTCTGCGGCTCGATAAACTTTATAACTACCTTAATAATCGAGGAGCAATTCTGCTATAGGAAGTAGTTAAGTGTAGATCGATAGTAAATCATAACGCTTTTTGTATCTCTAACTTTAAGAATGACCCTTTCCCCCTAGAGGCAAATAGGAAATTTTGGCGGGCCTCCCTATTAAACACAATTATATCTTGTTCCTAGATAGACTAAGATATAGAGGTTCTAAGATTGCCGTCGCGGTCGATATATATCATGGCGTAGTGGATAGGAGGATCGGACTAGACTATAATATCAGCGAGAATCAATTAAATATATTAGTTATAGAAGATAGTTATACAATAGTAAAATCCAATCCTAAGGTGTCTTGGAGGGTAGAAGCAGCCCTCTTTATAGCACGTGTTATAGTGTTTGCCATTACGATAGTGTGTCAATTAAGATACTCGGCCGTGGCCTATATAACTCGTCGTGGGGGTAGCTAACGTCGAAAATACTTTATATCCAGAGAAAGATCTATAATTTAGTGTGGAGGTGATAGAATATAGAATATATATATATACCTAGGGAGTTTCTATATATAGTGTAATATATATATATTTCCTGCTTTTGTCTCTTCAAGGCGTCCCAGGAAAAGTGTTCTCGAATCTAAAAAACAAGGTATAGTGGGCATCTTAGTATTAATTTGGTATAGGCGAAAAGTACCTAGCTTTCTAACCCCGGTTGTATTGATATTTGTTCCTATTAGAAACTTTAAAAAGAAGCACTTTTATTTACTCAAGTAAGGGAAGTCTCGCAGGATTGATTAGTTATGGCTACATTAACGTAGATAAATAAGATCTATACAAAAATCGATTTATATATTTCTGCCTTAGTCTTTCTAAATTCTATCTTACTTTATATATTCTCGAGTGGTTTATATTTTGTGTTCAATTAGTCCAAAACGACTATACTTTCTGGTCAATAGGGGGAAACGATATAGGTCATTCTAGAACTTACAGGTTCCACATATCAAACTAATGGTTATATAGAGACCGAGAGATATCTTAGTCCTATGATATAATCAGTTCCTTAAAATAGAATAACTTAAAATTCGTAATACAGGACTTATATATGGGACACAACCACTCCAGCAATACCTTACTATATGCCAAAGTCGAGTTCTAAAAATAGAGAAAACGATCAAAGCAAACCAGGTCAATAGGGTGTAGATCAGAAGCTCGGAAATTAAGTCGTTATCCATACTTAAAGGTAGATAAATAGTCTATTACTTTAGATTCTAGACCGTTAATATACTAGGCAGCCAAGGTACTCTTATAATAAAATCTATAGACTGTTTTTATAGCTAATATACTATATAACTATATCTCTTAAGTTCAGAAATTTCACCGAGAAGCTGAAAATCCAAAACTAGTCCCTATAGCTAGGCTTAAATTGGATCTACATTTTCAGCGTTTCCGGAAACCCCTTCTAGGTTACCTAACGCTTATTTACAAGGATTAATAGGTAGCGAATTCTTGGTTACCCCTTTAAGGATCTAAAGGTGACTTAGAGTAGAGAAGGGATCTAGAAGAATATTGGTATCACTCGTCAAAGTTCGAGCCGACGGGTTAGGGTCGGGCTAACTAGTGATATCTAGAGAAAATATACTGAGTATATACGAAGGAGCACATTAGTGATATATATATCGAGCGGGGAATACTACCGTGAAATAGTGGTGGGTAATATCTAGAGGGCCCACAGCTTCTATATTTCTGCCTTTAGCGCTGTCCTCTTCTTGGTTTCCCCTAACGGACGAGGAATCGTCTTAAATAAAGATCCAGCTAGGAAGCAGTCTTCGTAGCGAGGAAGTTAGAATATAACCCATAATGTTTTCTTAGCAAGCTAATAGTTAATTCGGATATAGAGAGGGTTTAGGCAACACAGCAGCGTCAATAGGTTCTTATACTGGCCGATCAACTTTTTAAAAGAAATACTGTTTTCTTAGGATATATAACGTCGTCATTCTTTATTATACGCTAGTCACTATATCCAAGGTCTTCCTATAGGATAATATAGATATCAATAGGGCATATCTATCACAAATAGCCTCTATATCTCTAGCATAGAACTATAAGGGTACCGAAGTCACCTAGTTAAAGCAAAAGCGGATACTTATGGGCATTTATATAAATGAGTGTATATTTTTAAAGTCAATTGAACATAAAAATCTTAACTAATAAAATAGAAAAGTCTTAGATAAATGTTGTGTTGTCGAGTTATAATCAAGAAGTCATATAGTAATCCAAGGGTAAACATAAGCAATAATATATAATTGAAGATAAAGAACCAACTAACCATAGGAATTGAGTGTCCTTAAAATATCCTCCGTGGCTACTTCCTAAGTCGACTCCCTAAGCTACCCATAGGGTAGGCTCAAGTGTTTCTCGTGAGTAGCTTCTCTATCACGTGGCTCTTGTTCATCCCTCCGCCAAAAGGCGGTATACTCGACAATAGGCGGATTTTCTGGACGGCCCGCCCGTGCAATATATAGGGTTACTATCTATTGATCACTCCGTAACCGCGGTAGGCTTAGGAGCTTCCCTTCTACCTCTCACCTAGTCAAGGGTATTCGAAATAGCTATCTCGGGGTTATCTCTAAACCCTATTAGATAGTTATTAATCTCCGCTATAGTTAACTAGCCGAGGGAAACAATATCTGTAAATTGGCCAGAAAGCTATAATATACTATCCTCCTATATCGACCGATCATTTAATTTTCTTTCTACACTAATCGAAGGGATAGATAAAGACGCCTTATCAAAAAAAGCATAAAAGAGCTGCTTAGCGCTTATGGTGTCCACGAAGTCAAAGTGATATCTTTTGTCCGCCCAGCCTTCTCGAATCAAGGCCGGATCAAGCTTTTCTAGATGATTCGTAGTCATGATAAGAATATAGCCCTCCTGTGCTATAACGCTATCAATGTAGTTCAGAAGGGCCGATAAAGAAATGCCAGCGCCGTCAAGCTTATTTTCTTGGCGCGAATTCTCCACTCTACTAGTATTACCAGGATCCTTTATCCGCCGATAGGAGTCTTGGCTAATTCTAGCATTATCCACATCCTTAAGGAGCACAATACAACGTCTTAGAAGGCTTTAGAAGAGGCTAACCAAGCTATCTTTATTAAGCTTTTAGGAGTTTAAGCTGACTGTATAGATATCAAGCTAAAGGCGCCCTGTAATTACAAAGCATATACTTGACTTTCTAGTTCCGGGAGGACCATAGAGAAGATAACCTCGGCGGTATAGCATACCACAACGCTCGTAAAAGGCTCTTTCTTTAGGACTCAGGAAAGCTTCGATATCGTTTAGCATACTATTCTTGATTTCTAGAGGCAAGGCTAAAGTTGATAATAAACAAGGAGGCTTCGACTTAGTCAGAACCCAACTAACTATATCCTGTTTGATAAAACCGCGAAAGATTGTGATTTTATTCCTGTGACGCTGAATTAAGAATTACTATACTTCTTTTAGAAGTGTGTTAAGCACTTCCTTACTCTATAAGAACGAGTAGATTGTGAAGCTTTCTATATTTATCAACCAACTATTTTACTTCTTGTGTGGATAACAGTAAAGCGTAATAAGACATCCCTAGTATAGGAATAAATAAAGCTTGTTTTGGGAAGGAGTATAGCGGATTAGCTTAATATCTTGCTGTTTTTTTAAAGAAAACCAGAAGTCCTCACTACTCTTTTCAAAGCGCTCTTGCTCTTCCAAGGGATCTTTATCGGTGTCCTCATCGTCTTCGTTTTGCCAGGGTAAAGAAATAGCGTGCTTTGATTTAGTAATAGAACGCCGGCTGTAGCTTAATAAATCATTCCTTTCTATCTATTATATAAACTAGCTATATAGCTTGTCGTGGTATAGAATTTCTTTAGAGTAGGTAAAGTAAAGGAGTATATTTTAGACGTTATTTAGAACTTAAGGAAGTATAAAGCCAAAGAATAGAGACAAAATAGCGAATAGAATAAGGGAGCCGGAGTATAAGAAAATATCGGCGTGTAAAGAAGAGGAAAAAAGTCGGGTCAAAGGAGAAAATCCTAGAAATAATAATTTAAAGGCAATAGGTAGTACCTTAGAAATATTGCTATATATGATACCGAAATTTAGTGCGAGTATAGGTAGACAATAGAAGAGGGTATAGGTCTTTTATAATGGACTTAAAAGCTGATTCTACTTATGGTTAATTCTTACTTATTCGCGAGAGGCTATTTCGAGAGTGTATATAGTAGGTTAATATATTTTCTCTTATCAAATCAAATCTATCGCGATGATCTTGCGCCGTGAACGTTTATATAACCTTATATTACCAACTTAGACATAATCCTTGTATATTATCGCATGAATTTGTAGCTTTAACTTTCATAGTATCTAAGTAAGAATTCCTCTAATATAGATTTATACCACGACTTAGAATCAAATATTTGTCTCTTTTAATCCCGTATTTCTGCCTTATATAGCACCACTCCTCTTCCCCTAGAAGACCCTTTGCAACCCCAATCTTGTAGTAAAGTTTTAGCAGGTAGAGCTCGGACGACGCTTTTCTATAAATCAAGGGACATCTATAAGCATAGCCTTTTAAGCCGTTGTTATATCTGATATAGAACTTTATAAAGACGAAGTCTGGGGTCCAGACTGTACAGTTATATCTCTCGAATTCAGTAACTTCGCCGAGGAGTTAGATATCCAAGACTAGTCCATATAGCTTAGCCATAATGTGGATCTATATTGTTAGCGTTTCTATCCCCTCTAGGTTACCCAGCCTTTACCTATAGGGTTATATAAGATTACAATAGCTAGGTTCTAGGGAGATACGCTTATTTGGCCTCGTTGTTAACTTTTTGGGATTCTGAAGGTGAATTAGAGTAGTAACGGTATCACCCATCGAAGATTCAGCCGATTAGGTAGTAGCAGGATAACTGGTATCTATAGAAAAACGCGCTTAGTATAATATCTATAAGATATATTTGGAGTAGCAGATACCACTGTAAAATAGTGGCTAGTTAGGGTTTATAGCTTCTTCTGTGTTTCTGCCTTCTGCGCTCTGCTCTTGAGTTTCCCTAATAGATAGGGAATTGTCTTGGATAAAGAGAAAAGAATCGATCCAGCTAGGAAGCAGTCTTCGTAGCGAGAAAGTTGGAATATAATCCATAAGGGTTACTTAGTAAGCTGATAGCTATTTCTGATAATATAGGTATAGAAAGGGTGGGGTAGTTAAGTAGCGTCAATAGGTTGTTATACTGGCCAGCCGACCTTTTTAATTAAAATTTCGCTTGCTTTGGATATATAACGTCGTTAATTCTTCGTTTTTACACAAAGGAAGTCATTAGAGGAGAGCGAATATATTTAGATATTTACTATATTTAAATCAGTTATATCCTTCAAGCCTAATAGTAGATAAGATTTAAAGCTTCCCGAATTTTGTTATTTGATTAAAGCCTTTAGGCACTAAATCTTATTAGAGTAAATCCCTTAGTCGCAGGCTCTTAAGTATATATAGGTAGTAAGGAGATAATCATACTACTGGTTCACAACCAAAAGTCTATCGATAGCCACAATAAACTTATCCCTTGTCATCTCGCCATAATCCAGACAGTCTTTAAGCCCCTCGATTTAATCGACAATTTTATTATAATTATCCAAGTCTTAGAGCTTATTAGCCGCAAAGCGTTTTACTTCCGGTCTGATTTCTAACTTATTAACACGTTCTGTCCACCACTAAGCACTCATATATTGCCGTAGCTATATACAAGGAAAACTAAATAAGTCGAAGAATCCACTAGATAGGAGTATATAAAACCATATAGCTCCTAAAGCCTCGGACCATTTAACAAGCTTAGAGAGTTCTATACCCTACTCTCTAGGTATTTTCGCCTCTTCCTTTACCAAAGCTTCTTAAAAAATATTAAGACAGTTAAAATACCGTTTAGTGGCTTCGGGAGGGTTACTATCCTTAAAATCCCACTCTTCATTAACCGGTCGGTTATAAAGAAGCCACTAAGGAGCTAAACCAAATAGCTACGCCGGTCCTACATACACCCACTCAAGGTCCACAACCCCGACAATTATAAGATCTTTCTCGCTTTTCACAATCATATTTGCTAGGCCGAAATCATCGTATATAAGTTTAAAAGGCCTATTTTCATACGCTGTATTCATATAGCGGGGTATTAATGATTCCACAATATTTAGTGAAGTATATTTAGAGATAGTATCTAGTTCGCCAGTAATTAAATTCGGTTGATATCGAAGTTATTGCCAGTCTTGGTCAATAATGTACTGAAAATACGCCAAGGTTGTCGAGAAACCCGTGGTTCGATCACCTTGAAAGACCTTTATTAGTAAATATAAAAGATTAATAGATTATAGACATACCAAAAGTGTTAACCCCCCCGGTCTGTGCAATCTCTTATATCTTCTATATCAAAGGGCGGGTAGGCGCAGAATAACCAGTCCTTGGCGTGGGCAAACTTCCGATTCGGTCGAAATTAATCTCGAAAATTTGCAATATAAAGTTCGCGATCTGTCTATACACAATCTCGAGATCACTATCTGGAATTTCTTTTTTAAGTAGCCTAGAATTGCCTCTAGTAAATACGTCATTTAGACAAACCCCGTCGATAAAGTCTATCAAGATAAAAGGGCCAAGACCCAAAGGATTACTATTAGTAAGGCCCCAGGCTTTGATATCTAGAACAGGAACACTTATCCTTTCGCGGATAAGAGAAAGAGCCTCCACTTCTATAACTACCTTTTTATCGGCGTATTTAGGGCAAATACTCTTCACACAAGGGAAACGGAGCAACCATATAGTACCATCCTCAAAGAGAATCTTTTGACCGATATTATACGAGCCATTTAAGAAGCCACTATTTAGCTAGTAGGTAATTTATTCGGGGTGAAAGCTAGTTACCTATTCGTAAAGACACCCGTTTATTCGAAATTTATTGATCTCGTCGACCCAAATATCTTCTTAGATCTGATTTAAGATATCAAGGCCTTGGTTATAGTCTATTTCTGAAGGAGCTTGACTTATAAGAGTATATAAAATAGGCTAGTGAAATAAATAAAAAGTGACGCTAGGTTTAAAGACTATTTATCGTCGAAATATAGTGCTTATATAATATCTACGTAGACCGCCTCACTTTATCACACCCAAAATCAATGGTCTTACAAAAGATAGGACCATTACATAAGGATACTAAAAAATAAGAACTTAATTTTATTTGTATACTATATACCCTTACTTAGCTATAGATTTGCTATGCTTTACCCTATTTCTTAAAATTTATAGACAAAATATTGTCAAAAGTTTGTACCCGTAGCCCATAGGAATTCTAGCTGAAATCCAAGCGATTTTAGTCTATATATAATAGAAATAGCCCTAATTTCCGCGTAAGTGAAATTAATCACTTGAACGAGTATAAGTAATCTTTAAGGGTCTTTACTACTAAAGCTAAAAGAACTAAGTTCTAAGTCACAAGGCTGATAGATATCTGTGCCTACACTTCCTTCCAATATCACAATTTATACCCTCTAAGTGAAAACGATAGATAGCTCTTAGTCTTACTTACCCTATTCAAAATTGTTAATAAGTGAAATTTTCTTTTTTAGAACAATATAAGCTAACTAATAGTACTTTCGTTTTGTGCCTTTCCAGTATCGTGTTCCTCTTTGTCCCTAGCCAATTGTGCTACCTTTATTTCACGGTTTTGCAGGCGCTTTTTTTGAGAGGAATAGCCAGTATCTACCACTTGTCCCACCGCGGTAGATCCTAACGAAGCTATGGCGGCAGTAACAGCCTTGCGGTTTTCTGTATCGTTGTCGGATATATCATTGGGTTTTGGTTAGGCCTCGCTTTAGGCTAGTCTAGTTTATGCGCGAAACCGATGTGTGTAGGTAAGAAGATTGAGATAATAACCAAGTAATAGAACTTGAAGATAAATAGTTGTGTTGTAGTATTCCAAGTGGGATAGTCGCCCTACTTATGTTCCTAATGCTCTGCTTTTTAGCTCGAGGGATATCACTAGGATTAGCTTCCTTACACTATTATACGAACTATTTTTTCTATATTTTCATAAATACGCTGAGGTATATTTCAGAATAAGTTGACCGATAATAATGAAAAAAAGTAATATGATATATAAAAATTAGATGATAGGTAGATATAGCTACAATAAGGATCTTCCTGTTATTTAAATATTTAAATAACAGGAAGATCCTTATTGTAGCTTTAGTGCCAATAGCCATACTTAAGTTTAGCCAGTCAACAAGTACCTACTTTGCAAGCATAGAACTTACCTATAATCTTACAAAAGTATCGAGATTACTATAATTTATGAAAGAACCGTTTTTCTGTCTTACCATTGTTCCTATTGTTCCTAGACATATATTCAGATAGACGGAGATATTAGTTTTATATTAGAACCGGCAGAGAATAAGTGGATCTCGAGCCGTGCGAAGTTCTAGGTATAAATACCAACTAATAAAATATAACTATACTCTTACGATTAGTTCTTACGTCAGGCGATCAGATTCTCGCGGAGAGCGCGGTAGATCAGAATGTCTATCCAATCAAATAATCTAGGGCTCGGACCAACTAATTCATGGCTAGGATAAACTCGCCTATACCCCACTACGCTAAATTAACTATGCTCTCGGATAATCTATTAGTGCTTATTAGTTTGGCCCTTTAGCTTGGCCTAGAGCTATATAGAATCCTGGTGCTATATTTTTCTTTAGTTTTCAATCTTTCTGTGCTTCTGTTCTTAAGTATAGCGGCCGTATAATAGCTAGATAAGGACCTCGAGAGATTGCTCTGTGAGCTCACCTATTCCCTTAGCGGGAACGAGGTTCAATTCTTCTCTGCCAAATACGAGACTTATTTCCAGCATCTTTCAATCGATAAAAAGGAACTTTTTAGGCGGCTTTTAGGAAAACTTTTGAAAACTACACAAGGGGGATTTAAAGTATCTCAGCTATCTACCTACTCCTGTATATTCTCCGAAGAGACAACCAGAAATAACAACGCCGACGAACAACCTACCAATACCAACGCCATCTTAGCGCCTATATCTTATTCGGCCTCCTTAGAGAACACCAACGACGTGTGCGTCGATTCTACTGTAGTTGTCGATACGGCTACTAATAATATACTTACGGCCATAAATTTTGTATATATATAGTTAATTATCCCTACCTTTATCCGTTATTTGCTAGTCTTATATATCGACACACCCGGTTATTTCTTTACTATAAGTGAGCCACACTTTTCTCCGATCTAAGGAGGCGTACTAGATATATTCTATAGATTATATCAGAAGGAAGGTTATCGTGATCTTCTCGAAATTTATCGACATTTTGAACTACACAACTTACTTTTACTAGTCGTTGATCTTAGATACCATATAGGTGAAAAATAGGTATAGGGTGCTTTAAATAACCTTCTAGCTATGATTAAAGCCTAATCTCCGCTACTCACTCTCACAACACCGGAAATCAAGAAATACCTAGATCACTATGTTCGACTTAGACGTATATATAATAAATAGGTCCAAATATTTAGCGACCCTGGCTACCTCATTACCTTACCTTTAATGGTTTCGGAGACCGAGTGAGTTAAAAACTTCTAAATATAAAGATTGTTCTAACACTTCTAAGATATATAGGAAGAGAATATTCTAAGTGTATACCCGCCGCTATTAATCGGCTTTGTAGACTTAGTATTAATAAGGATATAGAAGATTTAAGGCTTTCTAAACTAGCAGACTTTATCTCTAAGTAGTTATATACACAGTCAAAGCTCAGAACTGCTATAAAAAGGAAAGCATCGAAACGAAAGAGAAGTAAAGCACAACTTTCTAACTCTAATAACCTAAGCTAATCTTCTATAGAGGTATCTAAGGCAAACATAGGAAACCATATATTATCTAAACACACTATTAGTAGACAATCTAAAATAGCGCTTTCGGGTACTGTAGACACAATAGTACCCATAGCTCAAGACGGTATATTGAAATATTTGTTAACCTTTTATCTATTGCTGTTATTGATATACTTATATGATACTGAAGTATTTCGACCTAATTCTAACGCCCATAATTGCTTACCTTATTCCCCACTAATAGAGGTATATATCGGTAACTTAACTACATAAAATTCATACTGTGTAATAGCTAACGATCAGGTGACCATAGATGGTTTAGGTATATCTTCCCTTAAGCGGCAGGAGATAGCCTATATTTTTGCTGACCTCGGCTATAGCAATAGATCTTATTAACTCTCTAGAGATAGGAATCCCTCCCACTAATAGGAACTATTCATATTTAACGAGCAAGGTATTTCGAAAAAGACCTTGCCTAGAGAGGTCAAGGCTCCTTTCTTTGCCTTCCTCACAAAGCGTGAATCGAATACCAAGTTAATTGGAAGATACTAATTGAGTATCAAATACTTTCTAAGACAATCCATCCTTGGACGACAATCTTCCACAGCCTTGCGAGGGTCTTACTTCATTGTCTTCGGACACCGGATCACAAAATATTCACGAAGAAGCATTGAATGAATTTCAATTAGAGGCACGTAGAGACAAAATTTCTACACAACCTTTCGAGGATCTTGATACTAAAGTGTTGAATAGGTTTTTTAAATCTCTTAATAACAAAAATCTTGGCTGTCCATCTAAGGATAATTTTTCTTAGCCCCTAGCTAAGGACACTAGATCATAAAATATTGATGAAGAGGTATTAAGTGTATATCCGTTCGAGTTCACTTTCTCTCAACCTCCTTCTTAGGACACCGGATCACAAAATATTCACGAAGAAGCATTAAACGAATTTCAATTAGAGGCACGTAGAGACAAAATTTCTACACGACCTTTCGAGGATCTTGATACTAAAGTGTTAAATGGGTTTTTTGAATCTCTTAATAACAAAAATCTTGGCTATCTATCTAAGGATAATTTTTCTCAGCCCCTAGCTAAGGACACTAGATCACAAAATGTTAATAAAGAGGTATTGAGTGTATGTCTGTTTGAGTTCACTTTCTCTTAACCTCCTCCTTAGGATATAGGACCACACAATATTGATCATGAAGTGTTGAATACGTTTTAATTCGAGGCACGTAGAGACGAAAATTCTGTATAACCTTTCGAGGATCTTGATACTAAAGTGTTGAATGGGTTTTTTAAGTCTCTTAACAATAGAAATCTTGGCTATCCATCTAAGGATCATTTTTCTTAGCCCCTAGCTAAGGACACCGGACCACAAAATATCGATAAAGAAGCATTAAATATATATCTATCCGAGCTCACTATTTCTTAGCCTCCTTGGGACATAGGATCGCAAGATTTTGATCAGGCATCAAGTTCCTTCTAGTATACCTTGCCTATTAACAATAAACTTACGCACTATTCTACTTAGTAAATTTCGGATAACAAGTCACGCTATATAAGTGATAGATCGAATAACTCCTATTTTGTGATACCTACCAACACGAGTCATATATAACTAACTAACCATTATTTCTCACGGTACATAGGATTTGATGCTAATAAAACACGTAGTAACCTACAAAATGTGATATATACTAATTAGAGGAAGACTGGTTAATGGTCTAATATTTCTTTTCTCCTAAATATAAGCCTACTACTAAAAGCGCTTTAAATAATATTATTAATCAGGAGTATTACTATAAAGGAGATTTTAGTCAAACAAATAGTGACTTCGAAAGCAAAAATATCATCCTTATCTAGAGGTTAGATAGTTCAATTCACTTAGAATCTACAAGTAGTACAACAAGCTTAGCACCCTTAGGTACCTAAATCCAGGATTTCCGTAAAATATGATAATAGAGATTTATATCTAAGCTCTACCCTTTAAT